TTGGCGCTATATAAATAAAATTGAATTGAATTGCATTTATTGTCCCCAGCCCTACAATGGACAATGCAGGGCTTTTTCATTTTGGCAATTCAGCTATATATATATATATATATATATATATATGAACCTGTAGTTTGGTGAGTATTTGACTCAGGATTATGTCCAATAAGGATTATTTCAAATGTTCCACATGAAAATCTTTCAAACTTTGTGTCTGTTGTAGGTTTGTATCTGTGATGACAACCCCGACTCGGCTGTCTCCGTTGTCCCAGACCTTTCTTGCAACTCCAGGGTCTCCTCCATCAGAGATGTCAGCCCACCTGTCTAGCCTGGCCATCTCTGTCCCCTCAGTGGCTTTAAGTCCTTCTGGTGAGGAGGAGTGCCCCCTGTTGTTGTCAAACACACGTCAGCCACACGTCAGCCGAGATGAAAAGAAGAGGACCTCTGCCCACTACAACCATGGCCATGCGGCACATAGCTTACCACCTAGCCCATTGTTTTCTATGGAGAATGGTAACTACCAAATCATAGGTGACCATGGCACCACAGCTTCCAGCCAGCTGTTCTCAGCATCACCGGAGAAGCTACTTAATACAAACAATAAGATCAACGACTGTGCCACCAAAAGAGCAGGAGTTGCAAATGGCCATTTGCCACATAATGTGCAGTGCAGTGGTGACAGCATGCTAGTGAGCAAAACAGAGCAGCCTCAGGGGGAACACACACCCTTCCTTACTACAGATAGCACTACAGCCCTGTTGCTCAGGGCTATGTACAGCAGCAGGACTAACCCAGCATCACCAAATGATGACCTGCAAGTCAATTCATCCAGTTATACCACCAAACAGGATCCAGTCGCTGTGTAAAGTAAAAAGATATTGCTGAGAATCCTTTATGTTTAGGTAAAAAGGAATAGTCACTATTAAACCTTTATTTTCTATAAATGATTTGCTGTGTAAATGAAAAATGAAACTTTTATTTTAGTGATGTAGTTAATAAAGAGTTTTATAAAAAGTGTACAAATGTGTTCATGTCTTGTAGGTAAAGTGCCATACACTAGTATGTAGCAATGGTTCACAGTATATTTCAATGCAGAAAAAATATCAATGGTGCCTTTCTGTTTGATATGCTTTAAGAGGACTGCAACATTGCATACTGGGCCATATATTCACCATCTTAATCTTCCAGTTAACGATTAAAAAAAAACTTGCTGCTTTTAACGTCTTTGGAAGTGCCCACTGACACAACAGTTTGATTTATGAAATTTAGGTGTGCATGCTACATCATTAAATGCTGTGATGAAATAATGAGCAATTTCTGTGGTTTCCTCTTCAGCCATTTGACCTCATCGGTTATCTGATGTCCCTTGTAATGATTATGGGCTGTCTCATTGAGATTTTTTTCTGAAATACATTAGACGCTACTGAACACCTGGACTGATGTTAATGAATAACTGATTAATCAGCTTATTACATGCATTTGATGAGAGGTGAAGATGTTAAAAATCAATCAATGTTTTTTTGGTCACCATCTAATCTGGTGAATACTAGAACTGTTAGATAAAGGTGCAATCAGTAAAGTATGGCTCTTTAGTGTTGCTAATTATTACTAATTATTAATAAAAAAAATATGCTTAACATTGCGGTAGATTTTTAGATTTGATTTTTAAATAAATTATATTGGGTATTTTATATAAGTTAGGGATTCACAAGAGACAGATGAAAAACAGAACAAAAATAATGGTCAAAATTAAAATAGCTTACACCTAAATATAATACTGAATCCTACATTTCCCATAATACATTAAAAGTATCTTGTTGAAAATCAGGTTTAATTTCTTACTTTGAGTGTAAACTGACTCATTTAAGGTGGTGCCGCCAAAAACATAATTACTAGCACGAAGACCAGCAATTACTTATGCCTTCCATTACTAGTATGATATTACTGATTGCATCTTTAAATGCTGGAATATCTACAAAGTGTGTATATAATGAAAATGGACTGCCTAATTTTATCCTTTGTGAAGACATCCATGTGTTCCTGAGTAATGTATTTTGGGGATTAAAGAAATTGCTAAATATATACATGATGGTTAACTGCTTTAATTTGTTCAGTCATATCTCTTAATTTCAAATTCTACATGTAACAATTTTGCTTTTTTTTTTCAACTCCCCAGCTTGTGTAGCTTCACTTTGTGTGCAATTTAAAAAAAAAAAAAGTTTTGTTCATGTCTACCAACATGAACAAAGTTTATGAAAATCTGCCAAAGTCTGTCACTACTTCTTGACTCTTGAACAGGGTTAGGCAACCTGTGGCTATTTAGCCCATCTCTAGTGTCTCCCTGTGGCTTTAACAAAAACTTCTCATTGTGATTTTTACATTCTCCAATTGTAAAAATGTGTAGCCGTTACACTTACACTATTAATAAAAACAACAACAACGTTTTAACATTTTCTCAACATGTGTCATACGTCATGTCCTGGCACCTTTTCCTCTATATAGAACCTCAATAGACCTTTTTCACAGCAGCCATTGTGACATGAAATGGTTGGGTAAACAGAGGTTGGCTCACCAGAAAGGAGCCAACTAACTAAATAGAATGGAACCTTAATTAGTATCATTGGCAACACCTGTGTTTACCTGACTATTATATGTCAAAATGGCTGCTGTGAAAATGGTCTCTAGCCGTGGCTACTAGTCTTGAGTTAATGGATCCCAAATAAAAAAAATAATAAAAATTCTGGCAGGAAAATAGAGATTTGTTTGCTTTCAGCACCAATGCTGCTGGCTTACTTGTATGCTTCATCTGTGGTGAGAAATTAGCATTATAAGGCTCAAGTAGTCAAAAGTGGCTCTTTTGATAATAAAGGTTCCTGACCCCTGTTCTAGAATCAACAGATTTACAAAAGGTAGGTCAAAATAACCACTTTTTGGCTCTGTAATAAACCATAGTTTCTAAAAATGTATGTATGTAGAATAAGTGGACAGCCTAGCATATGAGTAAGTATAATGATGTAGTGCGTTTACATTGGCACAAGTATCCTGGTTATGATAAGGTTGTGTTTTTTTACACATTTAAACACAATATCCTGGTTTTGAGAAACCGGGCTGTGCTTCCTGGAGTAATCCGAAATAAACCAGTATACGGTGGCACGTTAACACCTGATCCAGGTTTCTGAACATTCTCTGTTGGTACAGACCATAGTGGCTAAGATGGTGAGACATCATGACACACACAGAGGATCAAAAACCTGTTAGACACTGTTAGAATAATGTGTACAGGAATATAAATAACCATGTTCCATACAAATGTCATATCCTGAATAAGATAAATATCAAAATAAAATTCAAAACTGCGATACTAATGCACTCAGTGATGTGCTGGCCCACAATTAGTGTTTTAATGGTATCCATACTCTGTATTTTAAAATTAATTTCATTTATTCATTTGGTAATTCTTGCTAATTACAAGGTTTAATACTGTGCCATCTGTTCCACATGGTTATTAGTATTAAATAGAAAATAACTACTTGCATATTTTGTCCCTTGTATGCTTAACATAACTCACAATGCATTGCTTTTAGGTTTAGGATTGTCTTAAAATGCACCATTCGCACTGTTTCTTATTTCTTGTTTCTTATTAAATATTCAATGAGTTCTAAATTTTGTGCTTCACAGTGTCAAAATAATTCTGGTTAGAAACATTCTTTCAGCTCTTCTGCCTTACCACTGAAGAATTCAATTAAAACTAATCTTGTGCAGCTGTTATGATAAAGACAGTTTCTTACGTGTTGCATTTTATCAAATCAGGTTCCTCAGGCTCCTCCTAGTGCTCTTAATGGAATCTACCGCCACCAACCCAAAGCGTCTTTCCCTCTTTCTCTGCTCTGATTGGTTTTTTTGTATTCAAGCCCAGTACATTCTTGCAAATGCAAGGATATGGTTAGTTTCAGCAAATATTTGAAAATGAATGAAAATCATTTTTATAAAAGTTAATCCAGCTTTAAAATGCGTAAAAGAGAATTACGTAAAAAATATATAAGGTTTAAACCTATTCTTATTTTTGCATCAGAAACAATGATATTGTATATCTAAGTAATACATTTGAAAGAAATTGTACAGCGCCTTTCTAGTCTTCCGACCACTCAAAGCGTTTTTTACACTACATTCATACTATTCAGTGATGGCAAAGCCCATCCAATAAAAACTAACTCATACATACACACTTACACACCAATGCATGGCATCGGGAGCAATTTGGGGCTCAGTATCTTGCTCAAGGATACTACAACATGTGGCACCAAGAGCTGGTGATCGAACCAGCAACCTTCCGATTAGGGGACGACCTGCTCTGCCTCTGCGCCACAGCCGCACAGT